ACTTTTTGACATCATCCTCAGAAACAGGAGAAAAAGTAAAGGTAGGAATGTTAGGAATTTGCATAGAAGCAATGGAAGCCATAGTTTGGGAACGAATTGCAGAGTCCAGTGCTTTTACAGAAGCGAAATGTTGGTTGATTTTATCAAGTGACAGAGAAGGACCACAATCCAATGTAGCTGGTCTACAAAGACCGAAAGATTTTAGGAATTTCCACACTAAAACTGGAGAAGAGTTATTAATACAGTTATGGAAATATCGGCGTTTAGCTGCACGTACCATATGATTACACCTATTCCTGGCTGCTTTAAAAGATAACCAATTTTCTTCGGTTCGATTTCTCTTGAAACGAAGAAAAGCACGATTTCGTCTAGCCATTGCCATCCTTATGCCCTCTGTCATCCAAGGGGCAGGGGGACGCTTCAATCTAACCTTGTGAACAGGAGCATGAGCATCATAAAGGCTAAGAATATTGTGGTTAAGGATAGTGACTTTATCGTCAACAGTAGATGCTGCTATTAAGGAGGCTAGATCGAGATTAAGAGCGTCATTCCTAAGCTTGACAAAGTCTATTTTAGAAAAACTGCGAAGATGCATTACAGTAGGGGAATATTTAGGAGGTTTAAGCTTATACGATGCATAAATTAAGTCGTGGCGTGAGAAACCCAAAGCGGGTAACTGTCCATGCGTCATTACATGTTCAGGAGAAGCAGCAAGGATTAGATCAATCAATGAGTCATCAGTTCCGATATTATGATGAGTAGCCTTTAAAGGGAGAATAGAAAGATTAACCGACTCAATAATTGAAAGAAACCTTTTGGAACGAGGGCAGTTTTTCAACAGATCAGTATTGAAATCACCCATGATTATACAGTGAGTGTACTCAGAACAAATATCAACAAGAGCCATATCTAAAGTGGCGAAGTAATCGGTAGATGGGGGGCAATACACTAACCCTAGAAGCATCCTGATGCCCTTGACATCGAGTTCCACAAATAAAAACTCAGAAGAAGCGGAATAGCAGGAGGGAGATGCTAAGACAATTTTATAAGGAATTGATGCATTTAGGTAGATTGCTACACCACCTCCACCTTTTCCAACACGATCATTCCTAACAAGTACAAAGCCGGGTAAGGGATATAAAGTTGATGGTAAAGAAGGTTTCAGCCAACTTTCCGACACTAATATAGCATGAATATACTCGGGGGAAAAATGAAGCTTCAAGTTCGGAATAGTGGCTCGGGATACTTTGAGCGTTAATATGACATATGTTCACAGAGTTGTTAAAAGGCGTAAAAACTCCTTTGAGTAGTTCGTGTAAATTAAGCACGCTCTCGTTGAGAGAATCATTACAAGAGTGAAATGACAAAGTAGAAGAATCATTTGCAGAGCTAAACGACTCAACATCAGACATATTACATATACTAAAATAATAAATAAATTAAATAAATATATAAAAAAATAATAATAAAAAAATAAAAAATAAAGTAAGTTATGTAAACTATAACTATTAACTAACAAATTACTAAACATAAACATCACCAACCCATCAGTTAACTGTTTACAGAGTAAACTTAATATAAATAAAATTTTATATGCAAACTTATGATCTAAAATATCTAAAGTGGCAAAAATAATCTTGATTAATAATAAAGTTCCTAAGTAGATATCACAAAAAAAAAAAAAAATTACAGGAAAATGTTTACCAAGAGAAAATCGATTAAAGCAAAGTATAAGATCGACGCTGGCTGTATGATTCATGTGTCCTTTGTCTATAAAAGGAAAAAAAAAAGTAATACATAGTTGTCATTGTCAAATCAAACAAATCAAAACCCAAAATTTAACAAAAAAAAAAAAAAATTAAATTAAAAATATGTGGTAGGTAAATTTATAAAAAGATAAGTATTGTTACCAATATCAAGCATAGTATAAACAAACCTACCAAGTAAGAAACCTCAGCCAAGAAACAAAGGAAATTGAACCCAAGCAAGTTATGTATTACAAGATAAAATCTCATTAAGTTTATATTTAGAGAAATAAAAATTCCTATGCAGACTGTACTATTAGAAGAAACAACTTAAAAATAAAATTGCTATTATACTGCTGTAAAAAAAGTGACTTATGACTAGGTACAGTACAGACAATATTGTTCTGTGCTACAGTCATTACAACCAAGAAGATGCAGGACTATAAACACTTAACTAAATATATGTAAATCAATAATATAAAACAGTGGATTACAAAAATAAAGGATACCTAGGAATACCATTATATGTAAATTAAGCAAGCTATTTTTTAGCAATTAAACGGCGGGACCTTTTAGAATCCTCTTTCTGCACCACCACATCAACTTGATTGCGAGGAGAAGTCTCACACAGAATTTTTGTGCTTGAAGAACTTTGCAGTGCTTGTATGGGTTTCTTTACACTATTAGTGATACTGCTGTTAGGGGCCATACTAAGACTTGCTGATGAAAAATCAACAGGAAACTGTTGAATGAGAGTATCAATCTCCTCTTCAATGAAGATTTTTGCCCGTTCATTATTGGGAAGTTTGATGAAAATTGCTCCATCTAAGGTCCACACATTCTTCATTCCAAAATGCTTGCGGGCTTTTTTTAAGTACAGATTGCCTCATTTTAGTTAAAAACTCAGACACAGATATTTGAGATCCCCTTAACTTAGTTTTAGCTTTCCACACTTCAGACTTTGTGTTATGCTCATGAAATTGTACAAGAATTGGACGTGAACGACCATCCTTTTGAACACCAATTCGATGACAACGTACTAAGGCCACATTTGTAACATGTGGGATACCCATTTTCTTATGTATGATACCCAGTATTTCTTGTTCAATATTAACTTCTGGGGAGTCAGAGATCCCATTAAATAGAAGGATATTCTGTCTGTGCTGCATATCAATAGCATCAATTGACTTAGTGCAGGCTTGAATTTGTTGCCGAAGGAGATTGAGCATGGAGCAAACGACGTCCTTGAATTCATAAAACTCCTCGCGGAGTTGATTAAGAGAGGGATTAGTAGGTGTGGAGGCAGCCTTTAACCTGTTTTCAAATTCAGCCATTTTGCGACTCCAGCTTCCTTCAAGTTCTCTTTGCATGACCTCCACATCAGTTACTCTTGCCATTTCTTCCAATATTTGCTGTGATATTAGTGAACACAAAGTGAAGTGCTAATGAATGATATAGTTTGCAAAAACAAAGTGACACTAATGGGTGGTATGTGAATGTCACAAATATTTTATCTGGACATATATTTCAATAGGACTTCAAAAGAAAAGGTAATAAAGATGTAATTTATATGTAAATATAGTCCAAACACTGGTTTAAAATAATTTTAAAGTATATAAAATATAGGAGCTAATAAGTCAGCTGTTACTTGTTACACACCTACCCACGAAAAAAAGTGGAAAACATGTATTTGGCATTGGATACTTTACTAGAGTCCACCAATTTGGATGCTTTAGTTATATTCAGAAAATATTTAAAATTCAAAAAATTCACTTCAACGTTCAGTCTGTTTGTCTGGAGATTTTGAGTTTTGTCGGGAGTCTGGAGATCATTTGAAATACCGGGAGAATCCAGACGAATCCCGACCATCTGGCAACCCTATTGCGGAAGCCACTTACGATCCAGGTGGATGGAAAGTTAGATTATTATACGTGGTAGAGCCACGCTGCAACTAAATTATGGTTGTAGCACGAATGGGTGGGCTCGCTCGGGGAAGGACCACGCTCTCACATTGATGATGTCATCATTTTATTTATATTGAAGTCGATTGTACAAAGGTTTTAATTTTACCACTCTAGTTCAAAATCAAGTTATATAATCGTACTTTTTCACTAAAGTTATGTAAATACGAAACAGTGTCCACTTTCGGACCTTTATAACTACATAGGTTATAGAATATATAAAAACTTATTTGTTTTTTCGTATTTTATGCGCAGCCGTACCGTTCATCGGATTGATGTTAAACTTTGTCAACTTATTGTTTGCACTTGTGCGAAGGTTATATTAGGCATAATAAAATAAACTTACCTTCAAATTTATTTGAAGTTATAATGTATCATTCAATTTCAATTAAAGAATTATGATTCCTAATTAAACAATACAACGAATATTTCCACATTTTTTTTCTTTTGTGGCAGCAATGCGCCGAATACCAGCTAGTAATGCATATTATTTTATTGTTCTAGACGTGGACACACAGAGGCAATCAATCACTCGTCCAGCCTATCCATGACAAATGTATCGCTTGTGCAATCATATCGGAAACTTATCAGGATGCAGTGTTTACTGTAATCTCAACTAAACCAAAAAATATATTTAAGAAACGAAAAAAGCCAGCAGTACAATTATGTTACTCTGGTTCCACCAGTCCCATCATGGTTAGCTTCGTTTTGACGTTTAGATTCGTTGTCTTTCTTCATTTCTGAATTTCTTCTTTTATATTTTAGATAAAATAATAAAACAAACATAACCCCGTTTGATTTTTCTATATAACGCAGTTGTGGGTTGATTCCCACCGGTGAACAATTCCCATAAGAGTCACACAATCGTAAAGCAGATCCGAAATTCAACAATTTCCCTTTTTTTAATAACGCATGGCTTCTATTTAAACTTAGGACGAAGACGGGATGACATTAAAAATATCCTAATTTAAATAGAGTAGATGGATAAGTATTACCATCTGCTTGGGATCCTACAATTAATAAAATTAAATCCAAGCCCATCATACTACTGCACTTCAAGATATCGTAGGCTCGTTTAGCGTTAGATCAGACCAAAAATTAATATTCAAAAACTTTAGGTAGCCGGGTCATGACATCGGGACGTCAAACACCTCAATACCCCGTGACCATTATTGTTGGGTGCATTAAAAGTTAAAATTACGAGATAAAACCCATAAAATAAGTTTCATTTAATGTGTAGTGTTCGCATAAATAATATAAGAAATCAATAACTATAGCAATGTAATCTTCATACCAGGTTTGGGGGGCAAAGCAGGCGCGGGCTCGCTGGGCGGCGCGGGCGGCGGCGGCTCCAGCATCACCACGAAGTTGGACGGAAACACGCCCACTCGACCCTGACGTCGGCCCTGCCACCAACCCTCCTCCACCTACACAATAATACATATACATGATAGACCCGCGAGATACAGTCCGAAAAGATTATTTACTCGTTAACTATTTCCAATTAGTGTAAAAAAATATGGCTTTACGCCTTTTTTATAGGACACGGTTGACAAACGAGCACACAGTCTTGGTCCACCTGGTGTTAAGTGGTTGCTGTGAACCATAGACATCTACATCTATCCTCAATTACGAATCAAAATGCAGATGCGTTGTCATCCGTGAGGACTAAGATGGAATGCCTCGTTTCCAGTAAAATGGGTCTCCGGTTCTCTGCACTCACCATACGAAACACAGCAGCGTTGAGCTACCATTCCACGTTCTCAGAGTATTCTGTGAGAGCATGGTTCTTCCCCGGTCGAACCAACCCATTCGTGCTACAAAAACCATAATATAGCTGCAGCGTGGCTCTAGCACGTAAAAAAAGAATATTTATACGCAATGATGTGAGTTCACAGGAAAATACTTCCAAATATGGAATAAGTAGATCATCTGTAGTAGTAGTAGCACGCACTATATATATATATATATATATATATATATATATATATATATATATATATATATTGTCTTGTTATGTGTACACGAATAAATAAAAATATCCAAATAAATTGAATACTGGTATAAAACTTTTACGTGGCTATAATATTGGTTTTAGCACGAATGGGCCGGTTCAAACAGGGTAGAACCATGCTCTCACAGAATACCGACGTAAAATAGCAGCTTAAGGCGACACCACACCTCCTTTCATCGAATAGTATAGGACTATGACACCACTAACGAAAGTGGGATTTTGATATAGGTAAATTCATGTCTTTGTCTTGAATTTGACGGCTCAAAAAACACGATTGTATAATTTTTACTCGATCATAATTATTTGCGAAAACACCTCTAAAAATCACTATAGTTGAAATTACAACAAAATAATTTGATCTATATGCTTAGGAATCACTCAAATATATCCAAAACATCAATATTCACAATTTACTTGCTCATTATTTTGATAACTTAAATTAATAATTTTTTTAAAAATATTTTAAGATTCTAACAATTTCCAAGCGCTTTTAATCGTCGCAGGCGTTACGCAATTTCAGACCTTATGACGGCGTTTCTTCAAGTTTTTATAGAAATTATGTATTCACTCGGATCAGTACGGCGATAGCGCTTTCGATGTGTCGTCTTAATGCGACTGTGTGGCGTATAGTGAGTGTAGAAAACCAGAGAGCCTTTTTACTAGAAACGAGGCATTCCATATCAGTCCTCAGGGTGACAACGTACCTGAATTGATTTTCAATTGAGAATTAATAATAATAATATCCTCCAGACCGAATTTCGGTCACGGCGGCCTGCCTCAACGGAGGCTAGCCATCGGCGCAGGACAGGATTATATTGCCCAAGTGTATGCGCAAGCACAGGTGCACTCACTATTCCCTAACTCTCATAATCCGATGGGACGGTAAACCGACACGACCGGCGAGAGATCAGGTGCAGGACCAACGGCTTTACGTGCTTTCTGAGGCACGGGGGTGAGACACCGTCAATTTCCTGACTCCGGGCAGCTACTGAGAATTTCTTGACGGAAAAACTCAATAATTAATTTTGTTGACCCGACCCGGGATTCGAACCCAGGACCTCATGATCAGCAGTCGCACTACACAACCACTAGACCAACGAGGCAGTCAATTGAGGATTAATGTACTCGTAAATATCTATTCGCCATAGTATCCACTAAAGTTGTTCAAAACGACTTTAAATCAATAGCACGCTACAGACTATAAACTTGAAATCTCTAGCGCGCTATTAAATACGCTATGTTAAGGCGTTAAGTTGTGCAGGAGGCCGGCAAGCGCTATATCTCGGAGCACGCTACATGTTGTTCATTGGATAGACCGCGTGCTATATAAGAACATTGTTTCGTAATAAGTGGTATTTTAGATTAAAATAAAATAAAGTGGTAAAGAAAAATCAATGAACGCTCTTTCATACTTTTCAGGCTTACGACTTTCTAACTTTCTATAATCCTAAAAATATTTTAAGGCGTGTACTTTTTAAAACAAAATAAAATTAATCATTTTTTATTGTAATTGATATGAACGTTATTTTAACCTTATTATAAATAATAAATCAATTAAAGGTGTATTTAAAAGTTTATTGATTGTATTTATAAAAATCAACTATTTACGAACACTATTATATACACTTTTGTATCTATATTTTATTTACATTTAAAAACATTAGTTAGGCTTCGTTTGTAGCAGACAACTGTGTCCTTCCATCACTTATAAATATACAGTACACACTAACTAAATAACGTCTAGCACTAAATTAGTTCGCGCGCGATGAATAGCGTGCTGCTAGATTAAATTTGCGTCACACGTCTACTCCCAACAGCGCTGCTGCTAGAACTAATTGCCGCTTGATAATAGCGCCAAAGCGTCATAGCGTCATGGCGACTACTTACATAGCACGCGTTATGTGTTATGAAGAGATAGCGCGCTATAATATGGCGCTATGCGCTATATTAACCACCATTAGTATCCACTTACCATAAGGTGGAGTGTGTGCTCGTTCGTCACCCTTATTCTATAAAAATATCCAGCATCTGCTTTTTTTATTCTAACAGAGTAAACTTGATTCTGCGATCTGATCTGATCAGAGCACTTAATGATTGCAGTGATATTTGACATGTTCACATCATAAGAAGGTGCGAAAAATATTTCCAGCGGCAATTTAAGAAATGATAAGTGTGTAGAGGATAAATTACATTGCTGTAGAGTTGGGTTCTCCGAGACGTTACGCTCGACTGGTGCGGTTATGACGCGCTGAGCGACGGATATTGGAAGATGGATAGAAAGTTACCAGTGATCAGTTTTATTGATCGATATCATTAGAACGTGACCAAGCACAATTTTAAACGACTTAAATGATCAGCAATACGTATAAACTGTTCTCAGCGCTCAAGTGAAATATCTATCCATTATTATGGTCATGCTTTATTTTAACTTGTTGGATTTCGACTCACTCTAAATAGAAAGGAACAACAAAGTCGAAGATAAGGCTGTGGTCTGCATGCATTACGCATTTTTATAAGACAGTCAACGTATACTATATACTTATAAAATATTTTGCTTGGCCTGTTATCATGTTATTTGGATGATTGCGCAGACATGCACTCATCCGCGGACACCCGCGTGTCTAATCCCGACCGAAGCCTATATTTGTACCCAAAAATACATTATTAATTTTATGGTTATACTCCAATAAATCTAAGAAATACTTTTTGACAGCAATCACATTTATTGGACTAGACATTTCAGCTAAAAAAATCTGTACCTACAATATTCGATTCTTAAGAGATATCGCTATCGATTATTTAAAGTTAGTAATCATTTACTGTTTTATCTAGATTATATACCAGAATAAATTAGGAACAGGTAACTCAAATACAAAATTTATCAGTTTTTAATATTTATTGCTTACTGCTATAGCTAATTTCTAGGCAAAGTTATATAAAAAAATTAGACTGCACTAGTTTAAAAACAAATTTATTTAATCACGTTCACTTACAACTCACATGTCTGAGAGGGTTTATTTTATTTTTGCCGGTTTCCTAAAGATGTTTTCCTTCATCGCCGAGCACGTGGTAAACCAGCACTTAAAATTGTAATTAACAATTTTATAGGTGCCGGTGGGGATCGAACCCGGGTTGCTCGCGTAATGTTAGATTTACATACAGCGAGCGCTTAGCTTTAGTGACGGCTTGTTGTACCACGGAATCGTTGTTAACATAAATTTATTATTCCATTTTCTGTAATGCATACAAAATGAATGTCTCTTTCATAGTCGTCCATAACAATTTTCTTTGTTTTCTCCATCACTTTGGTCCAGTCATTCCTTGTGTATTAATTGCATTTTCTACACATCCTCTTCCTGCGTCTCCCACATAGCAAATTATGAGGCGCCAACCTTTTCTATGGGCGCGTGCCACGTCTGCGGCAGTGTCATCGGTGTTTAGCCATGTAGAATAAAACGTTATTCCATTTGGTTATATTTTAAATTTCTCGTAAAATAGTTACTTTGCACTAATATCTTAAGATAATTATTTTGCGTGTTTGTTATTACGGAATGATTAATGTGAAACGTTAAAAAATATTTCTTAGATTTGGTATAAGTTGTATCAATTTTCTCGCCCTAGTTTTGTAGTGTAGGTTAAGGTAGAATAAGTTTGGAACAATATAATTAAAGTCACAGCAAGAGTAGCACGTCTCTTTTTATTGACACCTTCCAACATTGCAGCTCGAATCGAGCACTTAAATTAATTCGAGTATGTAATTGTGTTTGTGGTTTTTGCGTACCTTTATGACACATGTCACTTACGCAGTGAAAAGCTTCCGATTATTTAAAACAAATCACCGCTGTCCAAAATCAACCCTGAAGTCATCATCATCACATTGCCCAACTACCAATTTTTATGAAAAGGATGATAAACAAGCTGTACCTATTCTCGATTAAGAATCAAAATGTATATGCATTTGTCATTACTGAGGACTAAGACAGAATGCCTCGTTACCAGTAAAAAATATAACGCCGGTCTCCGCTTCTTTACACCACACGAAACACAGCAGCGTCATGATTTTTTAAACTGGTCACAATGACAGCATCGTCCTTCTTCAGTCGAGCCGAATAATTCATGTAGCAGTCATAATACATCTGTTTCGTGGCTTTTCCACGTATAAAATCTTACTACGACATTTTCCGACCCTGTTTAGTGAAAATTAACAAAGCTGTTGTACATCAAAAAAATATAGAGAACAGTACATGAGCACGCGAGCAACTCGGTTTCAATCCTCGTTGCATTGTTAATTGCAATTTTAAGCGCTGATGTACGTTGTAGGTAGTAATTGGGGGGTGAAGAAAAACATCGGAAGGATACTTACGTGTCAGGGATTTTTTTAAAAGAAGCAGAAGGAAGAAATGGCTCTGATACCCCTGTCAGAAATAAGAGCAGGGTTGTGCCCAGCAGTGTAACTTTATATTTTATATATATATATATATATATATTATATACATTTTAACGACTGCACGATTTATATTATTATTGCTCAGTGTCGAATGTAACACAGCTCCAAAAATCAAAAGATCTTTAATTATCAACCAGCAATATTAAAGAAATAAAAAACATAGACTAAATAAAATTAAAGGTTTCTAAATTATTCAAAAAAATGAACACACCTCTCCAAGAACTTCCAGCACGTCGCCCACGCAAAGTGGAAGCTCGTCGGGATTGGCGGGTTGGTAACTGAAAACCGCCCGACACCGTCCCTGCACCCCCACAGACCTGCTGTCGAACGAAAGCACACATCAAAACACTTTTTATTAAAATAATAACACATTTATAATAAACAAAAAAAAACATTTTCGTACATCAAACTGTAAGTCATTCGAAGTTCGAACACTTATTTTTTTTTAATTATGAGTTAAAAAATATTTGCTTCATTGCCGTACCTTGAAACTATGTTACCAATTTTAATAATTTACAGAATAAAATAGGACCCAAAATACACATTATCACAAGAGACTAAACAATAGAAACTTACTGCAGACTCGCAACGTATCACGAACTTATCTACTCTGATTAGATTACTTACAATAATCATTATTCCACTAATCATAAAAAATATTAATATTCGGTAAAGTACGTATAAAAATTAATAGTAAAGAAAGAATCAACGCATTGTGAATCATTTAATTTATCGTCAATGTTGTAGTTTATGATTAATTTGTAATACATATTGTACACATTGTATACATTTGTAATACAAAGTCCTGTTATATGTCATACAACCCATGCCCACATATAATCAAAGGCCCAGAGATTGTAGTGTATTTTTATTTGATTGTGACAAGTGACAATTCGTGCACGTGCACACAATTCAAAAGACAGCTGTTGTACTTATAATTTAAATAGATATCTAAACAGGTCCTCATGATTGAAACGAGACACAGGTTTTTTAATAGATGGGGGTGACAAACGAGCACACAGTCCAACTTATGGTAAGTGGTTGCTGTGGCTCATAGACATCTACATTTATCATCGATAAAGAATCAAAATACAGATGCGTTGTCAGTACTGTGGACTACGATGGAATGTATCGTTTCCAGTAAAAAGGGTTCTCTCCACTTACCATACGAAACACAGCAGCATTAAGCTGCTATTTTGTGAGAGGGCGTGGCCCTTCCTCGGTCGTGCCGACCCATTCATGCTACAATCATCATATAGCTAGCGTGGTTCTACTGCGTAGTCTACCACATCTGAGTAGTAAGATGGAAATACTTCGTTATCGGTAACGCTTCAGAATTCGTCACTAAACATGGCGCTTTGTATTACATTTGTACACTTGTTTTGTACTAACGTAGACCTTCGATATACCTCCGACCATATCTCATTAGCTAAAGTAGGTTAGGGCGACTGAATATCTTTACGAGTATCGTTAGAGCTTAAACTTGCAACGTAAATCTCTCATAGCTTCTGACATTGTTTAAAATTTCTCGCCACGCTCGTAATTGGCCAGAACACAGGTTGACAAAGGTGTTTATGAGACCGTGTTGGAAAAAGTATTTTGTTTATTTTTTTTTTATTTAAATATAGAAGCACCTAAAATCATTTGGAACCAACTGGATTTTTGGTACATATAATAGGTATATTAAGTGACGTGAATGTTTTTTAAAATAAATAAGTTGAGCAGCGTTTCGGATTCACTTTAAATGTTCTATAATTTTTTGTTGGTTTAAAATAGATACACACAAAATGGGCTAAAAGTTAAAGTTAAAATTACAGCCTTTAATCGTCTCACCGCTGGGAGAAAAAAACAAAAAAAAAAAAGCCCCCCCTTTATTTTTCCCCCTTTTTTTTTTTTTTTTTTTTTTTTTTTTTAAAATAATTTTTTTTTTATAAAAAAAAAAAAAATAATTTTAAAAAGTGTTTTTTTTTTTTTTTTTTTTTTTTAATAAAAAAAATTTTTTAATTGTCACCAAAACACCCCCCTTCTTTAAAAAAATAAAAAAAAAAAAAAAAAAAAAAAAAATTATGGGGAAAAAAGGAGGAGGGGAGTAAAATTAATATTTATAAAAAAAATAAAAAAAAAAAAAAAAAAAAAAATTAGAATTAAATGAAAAAATATTTATTATTTTTATAAAAAAAAAACCCGGCACAGGCCTTCTCTCATTTCTGAGAGGGTTTTAGGACAATTAAATTTCCGCCGCGCTGTCAAAATGCGTGTAGGCTAACTTCACGTGTAGGCGAACTTCACGTGTTGGCGAACTTCACTTGGTAATAATATTTTTTCTTATATTTCGAACATGCAGGTTCCTTTACGATGTTTTTCTTCACCGCCGAGCACGTGGTACGAGTAAATAAAAACTTAAAACTGCAATTAATAATTTCATTGGTGACGGCAAGGATCGAACCCGGGTTACTCGCTCGCGTACTGTCTCAAATACAATTTTAGGTGTTGTGTTTGGCGGTGAAGGAAAACATTGTAAGGAAATATGTATGACTGAAAAATAAAATTTCTAGGAAACGGTACGTCCGCCAACACGCATGGAAGCAGCGCTGACTAATTGATCGATAACCCTTTCAGAAATAAATGCCCAATAATTACGGGCCTCTACAAAGGCTGTAACTATGAAAACATACCGCTATAAGAAGAAAAAAAACTGTGATTAAGGCTAGGTATTTCGCAGAGACCGCGCTTTTAAGTTCTCTTAAACCATCTGAGGCATAGAAATTAGTGTTTTAAATTCTGATAAAAATATATACTATTAGTTAAGGATCTAGTTTAGTCAAAATCGCATTCAGTTACAAAATCTAAAGAACTTCACTCGATAGAAAAAAAATCCCGAAGTGACCCCTTTTTGTATTGTTTTTTTTTTTCAATATTATGACTAAACTACTAACATTTTACACTTAAATTTTGTACTCAAATAAAGCCACTTAATTTTTACAGACAAATTCGCAGAGTTTGACATGAAAAAAAATATTGTGTTAATTACTATATTTAGATACCTCCTAAAAGCGCGAGCGCGGCGGCTCGGCAAGCCTGACCAGTGACCAGTCGCGCGCTGGCGCTTATGGACGACGGACCCGTGTCAGTTTTCTTCGTGCACCAATAAATCAGTTCTTGACGAGTCATATAATTGTTGTCACAGACTAAATATTGCGGGCTATAAATATAAATTCTGTGGTTTTAATAGTTATAATGAATTTCACTGTAAGTTTGACTTTCTCCCCCCTAGCGTTGTGTGTGTTCACGCGAAACTTAAAAACAGTTCTCTACTCATACAGTTTCCATACCTATCAAAAGCGAACTGGTTGTTAATTTTCTATTTATTATGTAACTCTAATTTATCGCTATAATAAAAAAAAGTTTGATCATAAAAATGCATTTGTAAAGTCAAATAAAAAAGTCATCCTACTGCTTATTTCTATACTGTGTTGCTGGTTGGGTCATGCAAGTTCACTGCCTTGGAGTCCGCGCGAAATAATTCGTGCGCGGCCGGGACAGCGCTAAATGCCTACTTTTGCAGGAATACATGGCCTTAAAGTCGACATTTCGTTTTATTTTTCACTAGCTGCTGCCCGCGACTTCGTACGCGGATGATGTTGCTTATGCAAGCGACAACGGGGTGGTCAAAATCGAAGATCTGAAACGTCTGATGTCGAATTCTAAGAGCCCGGGGACGGGAAAACAACGTGATGCGCGAGACAATTCGAGACGTTCCAGATCTTTCATTTTTGTAAGTCAACAGGAAATGCCCATCAGACTAAACAACTTTTGCTAAGACGTCATTCCTATATACGTTATAATGTCGCTGGGCTTTGGAGTTCAACAATAGGTGTTCCAGATCTTCAAATTTATTCTCACAGCAGAAAATACTCTTCACGTGGAATATTTTTTGCAATGGCACCATTTTTATATCTCTTATACTTTAGCTGGTCTGTTGCAGTTCTGCATCAGGTGTTCCATTTTCCAAAATAAATTATAGTCTATATGTTGCCTAGACTTGACAACTATACAACAAAAATTTTCATCCCGTATATTTCATCCCAAGGGTACACTGAATTAACAATAATATTGCAAATCATTTTAAAAAAATCTTTGCCCACGTTCTCGGTAACGCGCAAGTCGTATCTCACTCTGCTGACTGCTCTCAAGTGATCGAGCAGTCTCAGAGCGGATATTCTGAAGACTCAACTTCTGATCCCTCTGTGTAACCGTTTCGGATGCGCGAGACAAAGAATGACGATCCCGGTCGATAGCTAAACGTATTTCTCGTTGTTCCACACTTTCCTGACATCGAGAAGCAATAGTGCGGACTCGTTTAAATTCTAATCGTAATTGGCGCTGCGGACAAATTTAGTGCATTACGCTCACGGTTAGCACATAGCCATTGTTCACGCTCTGCGTGGGTTCGAGAGAAACTACTGCTACTACTAACTAACCCGCGCATCTTAGAAACCCTTAAGTTTCGAGACAGATTTGCTATTTGATCTTTTTCTAAAAGACATAACTAAAATTCCTTCTTAATCCGACACTAACGATATTCAAAACAATGAAAAGTAATCGGAAGGGTACGTAAGAATTGCTAGTAAGTAGAAAAATAATAATTATTCGCAGGAAAATTAAACACATCAACCAACACAGACAACAAAGGTAACCCCCATTTCTATAGGATGAGAGCGGCTCATCGGCACCTATAACATCACTTTTTGGGAACGAAACCATAGCGCGATCTAACTCGACGCCAACGCCTACTAGATAGAAAACGGAAACTACATATTATTTACCCAAATAAATTAATTAAATTATGAATTAAAACTAAATTGTCGTTAATTTAATTGACAAGTACATTATTTTGAAAACATTTTTTTTAAATATGGTAACAGCAGCAAGGAACAAAACTAAGAAATCAATTACCTGCAACAAATGTGCTTGGTAAGATATAACTTAGAACCAAAAGTTTGCGCACCATTTAATGCGGTAAACGGTCGCCTGACCTTACCGCTAAATTCCCTGTTGACATATTGTTAAACAGCTGTTCCCTTGAAATTTATAATATTACTGCCCCGCTCCTTTATAAAAGTAGCGTGATTATTATGTTCCCAAGGTTAAATTTTTGTTTTTATTTTAACTAATAACATGTCATTTTGTGCATTCAGTTATATTGTGCATTCAATTACGAAGAAAAACCTTTTAAAATCAATATTGCTTACCTCCTATAACATACGGCGTGATAATATGTAGCCTAAAGCCTTCCTTGGTTTACAAAGAATATTTTTGCTGAATTTCAATTCAATCTATTCAGTAGTTTTGGCGTGAAGCCGTACCATACATACAGACAAACAGACAAAAATTCTAAAAAGTCACTTTTTGTCATCAGTTACTTTTTTTCTAACAAAAGCCACTTATTTATTATTTAATACACAATGTACAGTTTTTTTTTCGTCACTGTTTTATTATCTACACTAATATTATATAGAGGAAAGATTTGTTTGTTTGTTTGAATTGAATAGGCTCTGAAACTACTGAACCGATTTGAAAAATTCTTTCACCATTAGAATCCTACATTATTCCTGATGAACATAGGTTATAGAATGTTTTCAAAAAATTTAGGGATCCGTATGAAAACTTCGTTAATGTAACCCAAGGTGTGAAAAAAATACCAAAAAAAACCTTATATCGCGTACGCTGCGGAAACTATTGACAATAGAGCAAGGTGATGTGCTACAGTTTTATGGAGGACATCAATATCTAAATATAAGTCTGCAATACCATATGTCTAACTATTATAGTTATCTCACAATAACTACTTTTCCATGTTAAAATATTCAATAGTAACGTCGAAAAATCCTTATATCGCGTACACTGCCAGCACCATGCGATGCGGGTGTCACTGGGGTGTTATTAGAAATAAAAATTAAATAATCAAGAATTAAAAAAGAACAAAAAAAAAATAAAAAAGATACGTAAAAAATAATAAAAGAAAATCATTATCTATACTCTATATATATATATATATATATATATATATATATATATATATATATATATATATATATATATATACATATATATATATATATATATATATATATATATATATATATATATATATAATATTATAAAGAGGAAAGATGTTTTTGTTAGTTTGTTTGTACCAAATAAGTCCGAAACTACTGGACCGATTTTAATCAATTTTTACCAATAGAAAGCTGAATTATAGGGGTGTGGGAGTGGATAAAATTTAAATTTTCTGTATAACGTGTATATGCCGATAGATAAAAGTACTCCATAAATTTTGCTAATTTTTTATCTTTTATATATTTTTTTTTATCTTTATTAGTTTTATAAATTCTCCTGTATCGCGGGGGCAGTTTACAAACATAAATTGCACAAGGACAAACATCCAGACCCGGAACAATTATTTGTAGGCCATACAAATACTTGTTCCGTGCGGGATTCGAACCCGCGACCCCCAGCGCAGCCACTCATTGCTAAGCCACTGCGCCACGGAGCCGTCATCAGTATACAGATATCTATTTAATAAATTAAAAATCTATTAATTTTAATTCTAACAAATAAGGTCCGACAAATTTACATGTCTATGAGATCTATTTATTTCAATTTATTTATTCATCTCGCAAAAGCTATGAGGACCTGTCCCCTGTATGAATGATTGTTTAAAACAAATATTTTGCCTGTTTTGTTTATTTCGAATTAAATGTCGAAAAAAATTTAAAAATATTAACGTATTGAAAACAAGCTATTATAAAATGCTCTTTAGAAATGGAAATGTAATAAAATATTTAAACAATTAAAACTGCTTATTGTCAGAACATGTTTTTCCATTTAGCTAACATAATAAGAGGTTTACATCCAATGATTTCAAAAGGAAGGATAGGCCCATCTAAATATTTTACTCCTAACTTTATCATACAAGAAAAAGTAGCGCATCTGTCATAATACAAACGTCATATCAAAACACGACGTAACCAGGGTCGGATTTCGTAGTATAATTATCCTAATTGTACCATTATTTCATAGTTTTGCAGTACATATTATCGTCATAATACTAAGCGAAAATACCATAATTGTACCTAAAGGTCGACTTGTTATTGGGTCCTTTTACATTTTAATATTAACCCTACGATATCGAGAATTTCTGTATTGTACATGAGTACCGCTTTTTTTTTTAATAAAATTGGAATTAGCTCCCTTTCTGGTCAATCGATGCTCAATCCATGCATTTATGTTGCGTCCTTGATACAATTATAATGAGGGGCTACAACAATAAAAACTGTATGTTCCAGAAGCAATCGGTTTGATAACAGAATTTCAAAATATTTTATAAATCAGATTTTCAGATTCAATTAAGCAGATATGGTTTCTTTTGTACTCTTTTCATTTTACCCTTATTGAATATAAAATATATTAGGTACCAATATTCAAAATTTAACTTACACTAAGTTCTTTAGACAAAAATTAAACAGAAATAAAAATAAAACCGTCAAAAAACGAAACGTATAGATAAATTAGACGAGTGACACCAAAATTACGGCACATGGGAAAAAAGAAACATGAATCGTCAAACGTTATATAATTTTTTAAATAGTATAATTTTATTTACCATGTACAATATTTTTGAGGGTCTGAATCCAACCCTGGCCTAATCTTGAAACGTAACTAAACCAACCCTAAACTAAAACTTTAAAAATGGGATTATATAATATTTTAATTGTAACAAAATTAATATAAGGTTATTTACCGATGAGACGATATCCCATGTTCTTTTTTTTAATCTTTGTATCGTAATTTTTGCATTCTTTTACCACGCAACTAGACAACATATTTGTGACAGGCAAATCTGTCCTGCGCGCGTACTACTGTCGATCGATTCACGTTGGCCTTAAACTGTAATTTTAGGACCAGCGCACTGGTCCGTTTTAGTTGTTCGGTCGGCTCGGTCCTTACGCTAGTAATATATAAGTCAATGTTTACATCTTAATTATAATAAAGTGAAATTTTATGAAAGATATATAATAGTAATAATAAATGATTATGCGTATAATGTAAAACCAAAAATGACGAATTACGAAGTCATAGCATAGACCCTACGTCTCCCCTGCCACAAACCCTCGGCAACGTACACAAATAATACTAGTCCGTAAAGATTATATAAACTATGTATTTCCAATTTGTGTATCATACTTCATAAATTCATAAGTCACTTGGTCTGAGAGATTTATTTTCAATAGTTATAAGTTTTCTAAATTATAATAGTATATATTTTTATGTCAGTAGTTGTAGTTATCAGTTTTTGTTTGTTTTTATACAGCATTGTCTTGGTCTTGTACTGTTGCTGTTACTGTTTTGTAATAAATAAATAACGTGAAACGTAAATAAAGTCAAATAACTAAAAATTCATACAATGGTAATTTAGAATTTATAGATGTTACAATTTATTTATTTTACTAATAAATTTTATTTGAGGAATAAAAAATCGGCCCTAATAACAAATAGAAAGAGACGTACTAAATATAGTTTGCAAACAGTTCATTATGCAAAATATTGTTCAACGGCTTCTGGGTTCGAATCCAAACGGAGACTTAATGACCGGAAAATATTAATTTCCGGGTGTTGGGTGTGTTACTACTTATTAGTTATTACTTTCTACATGTCTTTAATAATGCGTCCAAATTTTTTTTCTATCTTCTTTCTATTCAATACAGCTCAGATAGAAGACAGAAAAAATATGATACTACTTTATATACATGTTAATATGTCACACATTAACATTACGTCACATATACAGAGGTCAGGATGAGTGAGTGCACATAGGTTTTTCCAATAATAGATATTAGGTACATATATTAATATTTTTAAAATATATAAAAGTTATGTTAAGAATTCGCCTTGAATAGCCATGCGGTGTAAGAGAATCCTTTACCCCAAATCATCGAGTGGCTGTTCCAAGAGGCGACGAGGAAAATAAGACAGAAGATGCTCAACAGCATCTTCCTGATAATACAACTCAAAATAACATGAAACTGCGGTTGTCAGCCTCCTTGCCGAATGTAACAACTATGGCAAATGCCTATGTTCAGCAGTGAACTTTTGTTAGTCTGTAATGAACAAATATGATGTCAGAAATATCTATCTATCTATACTGGATGACCTTTCTTACCGTCTGGAAAACATAGGATGTAACATGTGACCGGAGTAAAAGACTATGGCACTGGTATTTTACAAAAATAAAATAAAAACAAAAGTATTGAATTAAATGTCTGAAAAATATTTTTTGAACAATTTCTTTGCCTTTTGCCCTTGAGCCAGTGACCCTGAGAAGTGACAAGGTCAAAGATGCCTACTATATTTATTGTTTTACTGTCGTTCGTTAAGTACGGTGGATATGATTTGAATTTCGAATAGATTTTAATTACTTTATTTATTTAATTAAAAAATTTTATTTTTAATTTTTGTAAAATATCAATGCCATAGACTTCTACTTCCTTCACATGTTACACCCTATTTTTTCCAGATGGTAATAAAGGTCATCCAGTACATGTAAGCGAAATACCACTGACTGACTGACTCATCACGAGATCTGTATTATGCTTGTAGCACGAAAGGGTCAGCTCTACCAGGGAAGGACTACGCTCTTTCAGAATACACAGCGCAGCGTAAAATAGCATCTTGATGCTGCTGTGTTTCGTATGGTGAGTGTAGAGAACCGGAGTCCCATTTTACTGGAAACGAGGCATTCCACCTTAGTCCTCAGGGGTAACAACGCATCTGATTTTGATTCTTAATCGAGTTTAAATGTAGATGTCTATGGGCCACAGGATCAACTTACCACCAGGTGGACTGTATGCTCGTTGTCAGCCTAATTATATATTTAAAAAAAGTTTTCCTCTATATTTTTTTGTTGTAGGTTCCACAATAAAATATTACGGTGCGCCCAGCGAAACGTGCGGGTATCAGCTAGCATATTTATAAATACTAGCTATCCGTACAGACTTCGCACAGGTGATTTCTGGGTCTCGATAACAACACCATCTACCGGTCTATGCACCATTCTCAACTTAATCACACACACAGTTTATCAAAATCAAACAGACCAGATTTCTGGGTCTCGATAACAACACCATCTACCGTCTAATACTAAACCACTCGAACACACACACACTTTCATCAAAATCGAAGAGGAGTTCAACATACACACGGATGGAAATATTTTATATATAAATATTAATATACATAAATACTAACCTCGTACTCCCATGATCTGTGTGTACGGAAACAAAATTGTCAGGAAACATTCCTCGTCGACCACGAAGTTCTCCACGCCACCAACCGCCTGGCAGGCGTTCTACATCCCTCAATATGTCTCCAGGCCTGATCGTCAACTCATCGGTCTCCGAGGCGTCATAAGCATAGTTGGCTATACAGGATACTGCAAAAAAAATATGTGTGAAGAAAACTTCATACTTTTCGATCTAATGGCGGCATATAATATCCATTAGCCCATATCACCCAGTGAATGTCGTAAGAGGTGACAGAGGGAAGCTGGAAAAGGAGATATGCGACAGGATCTTCCTGATAACGTCTAAAAACAATAAGAAACTGCGGTTGAAATGAATTATGAAGCAACCTATGTACAGCAGTGGACTGTTGATAGTCTATAACCGTAACGATGTATAGCCGACTGACGTCACATTGTATTACCACGGGTTTTTAATTTGTATACACAGGACGCCGACACGGCACACACTAAATATCCGTAAAGAATGTAAGTCGACAAAATTGCAGGCAGTCATCAAACACGTCGGAACCGACCTGATGAGATTCAACACCAACAAAATACTTCAGTTGTGATTAATAACTTTAAATTGCACCGCAGTCATTCAGGTCGGCACAGTGGACAGTTGTTCGGTCATACGTGAAGTAGGTAGTCTAGGATTATCATCATCATCATCATCGTTACAGCCCTTCACAAGTCCACTGCAGGACGTAATAAGTAATGCAAAATGAAAAAAAAAAAGTCACTTTGTAGTTTTGATCTTTGTAAAGAGGTGTGATAAGAGGCACAAATTTAGCCAACCTCTAGATACATATTTTAAAGGATACATTTTGGGGATTTGCATTAAAATAACATAAATATAAATAATTTGTTTATTGACACAACCAACCCACTCAATAGGTCTCTAGCGGGGCTAACCCTCTAGTGGTCCTTCCCCCGTCAAGCTGACCCATTCGTGCTACAACTATACTACTAATATAACTGCAGCATGGCTCTGCCACGAAAAGTTTGGCAATGATTATATTCATATAATAAAAATTTACACTCATCAAATATGGAGTAGCTGCGTCAACGTCCATCTTGCTTGAAATTCAAGGAACATTTAAAAACATTTAACGCCGTTCAATGGCAAATTTAATGCCGTTCAACAGCGTTGAAATTGAAACGACGTTGACCGTTCAAGTGTAGCCACTCATTTTATCGCGTTAAATTTAAGGCAATAAGTGTTGCGTTTATGGGCATTGACGTTGCTCGTTAGTGTAGCTGCAGCATTTGAGGATACAGAACCGGCCCCCTTTGTCCGTACAGAACCGAGTACCCGGTTCTTTTCGGTTCTTAATACTACAAAAATCCTTAGGACAAAATAAAACTACATTATAATAATAATAATAAGCCCTTTTAATCTGAACTTAATATATGTTGTATTTCTTTTTTGTTTATTATAAAATCATTCATTTCCTCTTCGGCCACCTCCAACATTTTCCACTGGGATCTGTCCCGTGCTACCCTTGAGTGCTACCCGTGCAACCGATGTCCCGCCATGAGTTTTAGGTCGTCATCCCATCTTGTCTGTTGGCGTCCTCTACTTCTCTTGCCATCTCTAGGGCACCAATCTGTGACCGTTTTACACCATTTCTATCGTATATGTGACCTGTCCATCTCCATTTTTGTTGGTCTATTCGGGTTAATATATCAGCAACATTGGTTTTTTCTCTTATTTCGCAACATCTCACTCTGTCCTGTTTCCTCATTCCTATCAAGCTTTTTTCCATGGCTCTTTGGCAGCGTTCCAGCTTTTCCCTGTGGTGTTTGGCGAGTGCCCAGGTTTCACATCCGTAGGTGATAACTGGAAGTATACATGTGTTGAAGACTTTTCTTTTTATTGCATACTTAGTTCCTTGGATTTCAAGACTTCTTTGAAGGAACAGTACTTTTTCCATCCGTTTCCTATTCTTCTTTCAATTTCTTTGGTAGTTTGATCTTTGCGAGATATGTATGACTTGTCCTAAGTAGATGTAATCCGTCACATATTCGAGAGGTTGGTTGTAAACTTTAATTACTACTGATTCGGAGTTTGTGAGCAGTTTTGTTTTATCTTTCTTTATGCATAGGCCTACTTTCTTACTTTCTTCATTGAGAGTTTCTATCATTTTACTTAGATGCATTGGGTTTTCTTCAAATAAGACTATATCATCTGCAAATCTTAGGTGGTTTATTTTTTCACCCAGCATGTTGAGGCTGTATTCTTTCCAATCTAGTTTGCGGAAGATGCTTTCCAGAGCAGTCGAGAATAATTTTGGTGAAAGAGGGTCTCCCTGTCTTACTCCCCTCTCGATCTTGAACTTTTTTCCCAAGGTTTCCAGTTGGATTCTCACTTCTCCATTCATATAGATGTTCTTTATGATATTGATGTAGTTCGATGGTATCCCCTGCTGTTCTAAGCTGTTCCATATGGCCATGTGCTCTATGCTGTCAAAAGCTTTAGAATAATCAATGAATGCCATGTAGAGTTTCTTGTTATACTCATTGTATTTTTCTAATATTTGTTTCGTTGTATGTATGTGATCTAGAGTGGAGTATTTTTGTCTGAAGGCAGCTTGCTCCCGTGGTTGGTTCTCAAATAATGTTTTGCCTATTCGATCCAGAATAACTTTAGAAAATACCTTATAGATATTTGATATCAGGCTGATGGGTCTATAGTTTCCTACATCCTCCTTTTGTCCTTTTTTGAATAATAGAATAATGTTTGTTGTTTTCCATTCTTCTGGGATTTGGCTAGTTGTTAGTATTTCATTGAATATTGAAGTAAGTAAGATTTCTTTGAGGGTGCCTTTAGGAGTTCGTTCGTCACTTTGTCTGGTCCTGGAGCTTTTTCCATCTTCTGGCTGTATTATAAAAATATAGCTGTATACTGTATATATTCTGTATACATATTCTGCATACTGCTTTTTCGATTTCTCTGAGAAGTATTTCTGGTTCAGTGTTTTTGGTGTCAGTCCTCGGATAGTGTTCTTGTTTGTGGTCTGGGTTTGAATAAAGGTCTTGGTAAAACTTTGTGGCTATTTCATTTATGTTTTTTCTGTTAGATGAGGTACATTTCTTTTTGTTTAATTTAGGTATCCATTGCCTGTTTGATTCTCTCAGTTCCTTTAGTGCTTTTTTTACTCCTCCTGTCTTTGCTATATGCCTTTCTAATGTTTGCAGCCTCATGGTCTTTCTATCCTTTCTGATGTTCGCACTAATTTCTTTGCTTAATTTCGTTATAGTTTTTAAGTTGTCTTTTCTAGGGTGTTTTGATAATAGGTTTTTCCTTCTTTCTATGAGTTGTATGGTTGTGTGACTAAGTTTGTATTTGTTTTTCCTGTTGTGATCGGCTTTGACTATAGTTAGTAATTTTACTAGTTTTTCATATTTCATATGAGTATCAGTGTTTCTCATGGTTAATTCATCAGCTGATTCAATAAGATATTGTTTTATTTAATTTATATTTTCTACGCTATGGTGTTTTATGTTGTATGGAGTAAAGTATTTTCTAGATTTCTTTGGTGGTTCTATCTTTATGTTGCTTCTTACCATGCGGTGATTTATGTTGAAATTAAACTTTGCTATGATCGATGTATCTGTGAAGGCTTTTGGATAATTCGTTGTTATGTAGTCAATTTCGTTTTAGTGCGGCCATCAGGCGAAATCCATGTTCACTTATTCTTTTGAATTTTTATGTACATACTATTTAGGAGAATTAGGTTATGTTGCATTAAGAATTCCGCTAACCCGCACTTCTCTTTCCTTGACCATAGTTTCCCAAGACATATTCTTCCTTACATTACTTTGCTCAAACTTGAGCATTAATTTCATTAAAGTCGCCCATTAAAATAATGTGGTTGTTGGAATATCTTGTTATTGTTTTTAATAGTTCATTGTAAAAAAGTTGAGTTTCTGTTTTTGATGCTTGTTCTATTGGAGAATAAGTTTGTATAATTGTCCATAATTTTTTTATGGTTAGTATAGGTAATGTTTGTTGCCGCTTTTCCGGGGCGATTATAAGTTTTTTGGAATGTTTACTTGTGGGTCAGAACTTGCTCGGCTATTATGGTTCAGTATGCTGGGTTTAATAATATCCTTCCTGTTAGTTTTGGATAAGAATTGTAATACTCACGTGGTAATCGCTCACGGTTTGGTGTTTGTTTGTTTTTTTTAGTGCTGATGATTTAGGATACGCCGTAGTATCCCTTTTCCGCTTTTCTCTACTGTTGTTCTTTGGTTTTAACAGTATCGGTTTGTCATACTTTATTTAAGCGATGTTTCCCTTCTTTTCTTCTTCTTCTAGTTGAGGTTGTAGCTGTTTTCGTTTTTCCAGGGTTTCCTTGGAGCAGTCTTCTTTCACATTAATACCTGGCGGCAGGGTTGTCTTGTTTTTGAGTATAAGATCTTTTTTCCACAGGGTTGTGAAAGAGCCTACCACTGGGCGGTTTTTGTTTTCGCTTTTTTTCCCAATTCTGTACACGCTGTTAATTTCGTGGCTGTCCAAGTAGACTCCCGTATCTGATATAAGTTCTTTAATGTAGTCTACTAGTTCCCCTTCAGATTTTCCCGTCTCTTCCAAGCCGAAAAACACTAGGTTGTTTTTATGTTTTTCTCTATCTTAAAGCTTTAAGTTTTTGTTACAGTTCTGATACTCTTTTTTTGAGGATATTGTTGCCCTCGGTAATTGCTTTCATCTTTTCATCTAGCGCTTCCATGACATTTACGGTTACTGAATGAGTTATTTTTTCGGCTTGTTTTTCGAGTTTCTCGTCAAGTTTGAGGAGAAGTAATTCCATGTTTCTATCCATTTTGTTTTCGGACAAATTATTTCGAATGGGGTATTTCGAATTTCGTTGTCAACTTCAACTTTAACTTATTAGGTTAAGTTCTACAGTATTGACACAACTTTACCAGTGTCGTGTCAATGATTTATGTTATGGTAACTTAAATTTGATTGGGGACCATTCAGTAATCTATGACTGTGAAAACTACATTAATTTGGTGCTAATGATGATAGTGATGTGTATTTAATCAATTAAATGTGTTCCAATTATAATTATTATAAAATCATCTATATATGAAACAACAAAAAAACAAGGTTGTCTTCTGAGCTTCATAAAAATAAAATTTAGAAAAACAATTCAAAGAATTAACGAACGAAAAAAATCAAAAAAACAAAATCAACGAGATTTATTTTCTCAGTCTCTGGATTCTCTGATAATAATAAAAAATCAACACTTTCTGTCTCTCTTTCTTATAAAATCAAACAAACAAAAATGATTAGATTTAGTCACAATCAACACTTCCTGTCTTTCTTATTTTCGTAATAAGAGCGTAAAATGAGAGAACGTTTAAGCTTTTATCGTTTAATGAGGACTGAAGACGATTGCAGATAAATCCTAATTAAGAAAATATGCTATATGGCTCGACACTTGTGGGTGGAATTGTCTTTAAATTATCAAAAGCTGCTGTGAGATAGTGACTTCTTGATCCACCATTTTCAAATAGAGCCATTTCAAATTTAAAGGTAACCTTTAGGTTGTCGTCTAAAACAGCACTATCACTGTTCGTCCCTGTCATAACTTTTTCTAGTTCTCTTGCTCTTCATTGGTTAAATCTTGTATTTTAATAATAGAACCGGGTATCATTATTTTGGACCCGGTTCTTTTAGCTAAAAAGGAACCGGGTATACCCGGTTTTTTGGAACCGGGTAGAACCGGGTGCATGCTCTAATAGACATGCTGTGTCACACGTCATATTACATAGAACATTGTGTTATTTTTATTTTAGTGAATTAACCAATTACTTAATAAAATGTTTAATTATTAGGTGTTTAGTAAATGTGTAAGAAATTTCTGTTTTGGGTTGGCTAAAAGGTGTGGGACGTGTTAAGTTTTTTACACAGGATTATGAATAGACGTTGCTTGAAAAGTGGAGACGACAATGGTTGAAATCTACTCAAAAGTAAATTGAGTTTCCCATAACTCACTTAAAGTGAAATTTTGCATATTTTATGATGGTCTCCCAGATCTTGCGAAAATGAGGCACATAAGACAGGAAGAATTAAATTCTATACCTTCCTCATACGTTAAATTAGATAGATAGATCTCATTTTACATGTGAGGAAGGTATAAATGTAAGAGGGCATGTGCGATTTGCGTAGAAAATTTTTTAGGATGAATTTCGTAGGATTTTTCAAGGGCGATATTATAACGATGGAGCAGATTATTTGCAGAAAATTACAGCTTTAGAAAAATAAAGTCTTTATTTAGTGCACAACAATGGAAAATCATAGTTTTCAATGATGGTTTTTTAGAGCGAAGACAATCCCTCCATAGTGTTTTATGAAAATATGCATGAGTTATCTTTCAGCTTGAATACAACCATTGTTATAAGCTAAAATATTTTATTTTAGGTGTTATTATAATAGTATATATAGTCTTTTAGTGCAACCCAAAGTCTAAACTACGAAAATATTTCGATTTAATATTAAAAAACAATACTATAAAATCACCAAAACAGTCCACTTCAATGTCATTTTTTTCCATGTATTTGGATATAAACTTATCTATTCTAACAATTTTATTAAAATACAGGTAATGTTTAATATCCAAAAAAATTTTTAGCTCTTTTTATTTAGCCAATTATTTTGTAAAATTATTTTAAAAATACTATAAATGATCATGCACAGACGCCGTCCGATTCAGTACCCTCTGGGTCTTCCCAAGACAGTGACAGGACATATAACTTTTTCCTGCCAACGCTCGAATTTGTTTAATTCACACCGCAAGGATAACATAAACTAGTGTTGCCAAGTGTCCCAATTTATGCGAAATGTCAAAAATGCCTGAAAATCGGGTCCAAATTTTTACTAAACTTCTTGTTTGTATTTTCATCAATCATTTTGACAGCAAAATCAAATATTTTCCAGATTCGATCTCGGCCAACACAAATGAAATTGGTATTTTGATGAATTATCTACATTATGAAATAGAAAAAATGTATATCAAACAATATCTATTTTATATAATACATATGTCTCAATTCAAACTTTCAAGGTGTTACCTTGATGTTGTGACGTTCCTTAGTCTACTCAATAGGGTAAAAAAGAAAGGCCAACTTCAATTTACTAAAAGAATAAAATAATTTATACCTATTAGCTTCCAATGTTAGAGCTAGATTGGATACTAATTCTTATTTACACTATATCTTAAGCATCGAACACATAAGCTATTATGTGAAAATTATTTTATTCTTTTAGTTCCCATAGTATCAAAATGATTTGTGCTAGATACCACTAGTAACATTGCACCTACTCCACTTTACGCAGTCAAACACAGAGAGAGAACATTGTAGTGTGCATCAATATTACACCATTCCAGAGAGATTTTAAATTGCGCATATTTAAATATATGCTCTTAATTATCATGAAAAGTTGTTAATTTCTTTAGCATCCTTGGACAATTCAATAAGCTACCAGAAGTGAAATTTGATTGTGTAAATAATTACAAATAACATTTTACTAATACAGATCTACATTCCTTTTTACCTACAAAGACCGCATCCACCTTTTGAAATGGAAAGCTTGGGATGACACCCTGATTATTGATATGATTTTAAGCTTTATCATCTTTCCTAGCAAACATTTACATAGTGAGATGTACAAAATAAATACATAGCATTAATTGGCAACATATATTTCCTAATAAAAATAGCTAATAATAACTGTGGTCCAGCATGTAATATCTATATTGCTGTAATTTTGTAAGATGGTGAGAAGTGTGTAAAGTATCAATGTTTTATATATATATATTTAATTTTATATATAATAAATAATCTAATATTGAATCTGATTATAATTTTATAGCATCAATTTGCAATTTATATTTGGACTAGAAAGAATGAGATCTCTATATCATAAGTTTGGACAGATTTCTCTTATGTATTGTACAGTTGAGCCACAATATAAATTCTACTACCTAAATGTTTGATATCTTTAGTAATTCATCTTAAAAATATTTTAGTTTAATCATTCTGTCTGCTTAAATTAATTTTCATGGTGATTAATCTTAAAACATATTAAATTTTAAAATAACTGTGAATTTATGCTATGAGGTAAAATTTAATGTTTCAATGAAACACAAACTTACATCAATACTATGATCAAATCAAAAATATTTTACAATTTATGGTTCTAAGACTACTGGAACATATTACCAGTGGTCTGCTTTTTAAATTTTTACATGCACATGACATCACAATGCCAGGAAAATGAGTCATACACTAAACAACACTCATGGAAAGCTTATCTATGTTTATAGGGCTTTTGCAACGTCAATATCTTGATAATATGCGGCACCAAAATCAAACATATTTTTGGGAGCATCCGTTTTTATATTCGTTTTTTTAAGCTGTATATCGTTTCATATGAAAATGAGAAAAACATTTTGAGGCAGGTGCTATACGTCAGCCTAAATAATGTCGAAGTCGCAAGGTACAGTTATTCATACACAAATAAGAGTTAGTCTCTACGTGCTAGTTACAAACTGACCTTTATTATTTGTAGTTGACTCCATTTCAAGAACAAAATATATAACACATCACATTATCACAACATATTTCCAAAGTAATTCTAGAATGTATTATTTTTACATCACCAGAAATTAAAACAATAATTTAACCAGGCCGATTCATGAAATGTTTTCGATTCACGTCACGTCAAATCAAATCACAGATTAATAAAATAGGTATGAAGCTAGCTAACAGGGCTGCCAGATGTAAAAAAACACGTAATCGTACGCCAACTATAAAAAGTCGTATGTCAGGGAGATTTTGAAATGAAATAAATAGCAAAAAATGATCACAAATTTTTCCGATTGAAATTTTTCATTGAAGGTGGTGATTTTGGTCAAAATCCAAGACAGAAACGTGTAATAAAGCTGCATGAATGGATTATTTAAACCATTAAATATCAGTTCTTTTAAAACAAGACGTTCATTTAACCAACAATCAATGAAATACAAATTTAATGCATACCATTGTTCTAATATTCGATCAACTACCGCCACCATTGAAAACCAACTTACTTGTGATAGATACAATATCTTATAAGGCGAAGCACTCACAAAGTCTAGAAACCGTTGGAGGTGGAATTATCTTTTAGAACGGTTTTAAACAAAAACTATATATCTCTCTCTGACCAAATCAGCGCCAGCCAAAACAGCGCCTTGGTAATTGTTAAAAAACCAAATAAGTATTGTAAAACTTGCATATTTAAAGGTGTAAGAAGCAAAAAACTAATAACAATAAAAGTCTATTCATAGCAATATTTACCGTAGATGATGTGGTAATTTCAACTTTGTAAAATAATATATAACTCGAATGCATTTTTGCGACTTATATTGGTAGTATGTAGTAGGATGGGTTTTTATAGTGTACGATTGTGTGCACACAAAGACACTCTATTTCCTAACTATGATAGTTCGATGAGATTACAATCCAAAACGAGCTATGCGTACTTAGAAACTATATTATCAATTGTGATTACTTACATTATACTTGTTCAATAAAAATATGATTTTATTCATATCATTTTTTCAGATGTAAGCAATGGGTAAAATTAATGGTTAGACCTGGGAGATGTACAAATTAAAAAGCTTCATATGTTAAAACATATTGTTACGCGCGTAAGTTGATGTCATGTACCCGGCACGAGCGCCATCTAGTGTCGGGGACGAGAGCGAGGGGAGCTTTCCCGAAAACGACATCATTAATCTTTCAACCTACAGCGCCATCTAGTCTCGGAGCGAAGAACTAAGCTTCTAGAAGCTGACACTCGAACTCTCGACCCCTTGCGCGTGTTTACTTGAATATTCTGGATGTTTCGGTGCTAATTTGTATTTATAGGCGCTGCGAGATGCGATCGGGGGAAGTATTGAATTTGGCGAGACAAGCGAAGCTTCGGAGCGAAATAAAGTGAATCAGTGTGATTAATTTTTAGTGTTTTATGTTTTAATTGGTGTAAAGAAAATTAAAGTGTTAATTTAGGTAATTCTATCGGCAATTTTTATTGTCACGAACCTCAAGCTCGTAACCTTCAATAAAAATATGATTTTATTCATATTATTTTTTCAGATGTAAGCAATGGGTAAAATTAATGGGAGTGAAGACCTGGCAGATGTACCAATGAAAAAGCTTCACATGTTAAAACATATTTACCGCAAACATTGCAAATCCGAGGATTTAAACCCAAATAAAACGAACAGTTATTCCATCAGTGGACTTAAAGCTTCCACAATTATGTGTATGTTAATTAGATTTCCTTTACATGTAGTAAAAAATAATTTTTAAAGTCACATTTGATAAAAATTCAATTATATGACTAGACTCAAAGTTATTTGTAATTATCTGATTATAAATATTTAACTTTTTTTAAAGATTTACTTCACCTACAAACATTAGCTATAATGAGCACTAATTTTGAAAGCGACTATTAGTAAACGATCTCTGCGAGTATCTCTGTGAAGAAGCCTAGCGATTTGTACATAGTATTTGTTACACTTAAAAGCAAATTAATCCAATCATTTTTAAAGAAAACCAATATTTTTACCCTTTAAAAAAAACTGCTAAAACCAAGCATCCAGACGAAGACTATTTCTTTTACAGCATAGAAATACTTGTTCAATGTGGAAACGAACGTCATTTATTTTTTAATTATTTAATTACTATTATAATTGGTGCTGTTAATTATATACATATTTTTGTACCTAATAATTGAAGAGATATAATTACAAATAGCTGTGTGTGTGTGTGTGTGTGTGTGTGTGTGATTGTGTGTGTATTTTACACACACTTATGTGTGTGTAAAATTCCTCTTCAGCATTTTTACTCAATCCCCACTTAAAAACTTTTATTTGTTATAAATCAGTATAGATATCTAAATTTCATTATATAAAATAATATATCGACAAACATTATATGAACAAAATTATTCGAGGATAGACATTTATTAATATAATTCGCCTATTTTGTCAGCATTGTGTTTCAAGAAATAAATGTCATGTCTTGGTATTGATACGAGCTTGAGGTTCGTGACAACAAAAACTGCCGATTGAATTACCAAAATTTACACTTTTAGTACCGAACACCAATTAAAACTTAAAAGACACTAATAATTAATCACACTGATTCACTTTATTTCGCTCCGAAGCTTCGCTTGTCTCGCCAAATTCAATACTGCTGCGATCGCGGCTTGCAGCGGCTTTAAATACACCTTTTACACCGAAACATCCAGAATATTCCAGTAAATACGGGCGCCGACCTAGCAGACGCAGAAAGTTCGAGTGTGGGGCTTCTAGAAAGCTTAATTATTCTGTTCTCTGTTGGTCGAAAGTTCAAGATTGACTTTTCTAGGAAGCCCTCTTCGCTCTGGTCCCCGACACTAGATGGTGTTAGTGCTAGGTACCTGACGTCAACTTAGGCGCGCAACACTGTCGCCACCTAAGACATGCTCGTCCCAAGCATTATCGGCCCCATAATAACGCGCCAATAGATCCACATGGACGATCTTAAGAGTACCTCTTGCACCTTTTCGAAACGGCTCCGCAACGTCAAGGGCTATCCTCTCCCGTAGTGCACCAATATTGTACAATTTCGATGCTCCTCTACTACGAGTCTGAGGTCCCTTCATAACCGCACAACTTGTACATGTGCGACACCAATCCTCGACATCGTCACTATAATGTACCCAGTAAAACTGTTCTCGGATATTCAGTAGAGTTCATTTAACTCCCAGACGGAAGAACATTCGGCACTTTAGCTTTAGGGACAACCTATTTGCAAACAACAGCTGTCTCCTCGAGCATTTTCCCATTTACGGCACAGGACTCCATCCTGAATCAGCAAGCTGTCCCATTGGGCCCAATAGCTTTTAGTGGTCGAACTAATCGCTAGGACGTCACTCCACTTGTGCTTGGTAGCACGGGCCCTCATCCATTCCAGAATCGGCTTGATGTCTGGATCTTCCTGCTGTGCATGTTGTAAGCTTTCCACTCGTTGCTGAGGTGGTCTGTCATGAGCATCCTCACGGATACCACTTCTTTACTCTCTTGCCTAGTACAATGCTTGCAATCTTCAGGACAAGGTCTCCTTGACAATGCATCTGCGTTACCATGCGACTTCCTGCTGCGGTGATCAATCACAAAGCCATATTCCTGCTGCTGGGCGGTGATGTTAGCCGCACTTCCCTTCTGAGATCGTTCACCTTCCCTTTCTAGGGTTCGCTTAGGGCAGCTGGATCGAAGATGACCCCTTTCCCCACAGCCATCGCACCTTGGGCTGTAATTTTTATTGTGGTCGCGAACCGTAACTGCTGCAACCTCCCTAACGTCACCTAACGTGAAGGGAACGATGATCCTGCCGCCGCCAGGTGGTGCCGTTAGCTGTACTACCCTCTCAAGATCGATCAAATTCCCTTTCTACAGTTCGCTTAGGTCAGCTGGATCGAAGATGGCACCTTTCCTCACAGCCATAACTGTGCATGAAAGACGTGTTCCAGGTGAGCGTCGCCGTATCTCGCCTCCAATGCCTCAAAGAGCTGCTCATAAGAGAACTTCCAGAACTGTTAAGGCTTGGTCGCGCAGGCCTAATGTGAGAGCAGTCATGGCCTGACTTTTATTCCAGCCGGTTGCCTTCATAACAGCTTCGAACTGGATTTTGTAGGCCGACCAGGAAGAAGTCCCGTCGAACGGTGGCACCTTGAACCTACGTAGCGAAGGTGTTGTAGCTACTACGGGAGCTGTAATTCCATGCCCCAGTTTGAGGTGGTCCAGCGTTTTCTTCACGTCAGCTATCACGTTGTCAAACCGATTGTTTACTTGGTTGATTCGGGTTTCAGCTTTCTCGATTCGGGTTTCAGTTTTCGCGATTTGGGTTTCAGCTTCAGACAGGCGGTTGTCATGCTGAGCAACCCTATCCTTCACCTCCGTTATCTCCTTCCCAAAGGTAGCGTGAAAGTCCTTCATGAGGACCATCTGCTCTTCCAACTGTAACGATCTCCCCCCCCTCTCTCATAATAATAAATATATTAGATATAATTAATTTACCCCTTTTCGATAAAAATTATATATATATGACCAGGATAAATAAAATATGTTTTGATCTTTCTAAATGATCTTTCAAAAGGTTTATTAATAGGCCGGTTTTAATATTTTGGCGTGATTGTCTTAGTTAGGACCCTTATTTACGTTGTGTTTGTTTAGTAACTTAGTTCTTTTAGGTGTCTTTTGGAAGAATGAATATTCACTAGAGCAATTGAAAGCTGTTGGTAGTGCCTTATAAGCTAAGTGAACCCCGTTCACGAAGACAGGGCTCGAAAAAAGGTTAAGAACATAAAAAGTCCCTATTCCACTTGCATCAGGTTTACATTATTAATTATCCCTTCCCGCTCGGAAAAGGCTCAAAATTTATTTATACAAAATACCCGATACAAGGGCTTCGCTCTCCTACATTTATTTAAAAAAATGTAGGGGAGGTACACGGCCCCACACACGCCGTGCACAGTGAGTGCCAACCATTT